CCCGAGTGAACTTTTCCAATCTCTCCAGGATTGTTGAGAAGGGTTCATGTAGGGCTTGCGGAATCTCATACGCGTAATCTGATTTGTCCGGAAAACTGGTGCTTGAAGCACTTCAGTACCATTTGCTTCATCCTTCCAAAGCTCAACCTTTACAGCCAACTGGAACTTAACTCCTCGTAGAGCTAATAGCTCCTCGACGAGTTTGCGTTCGATATGGGGCTGGGCGCTTTTGAGGAAAGCCATCAAGTCACGTTCGGAGGGGTGCCCCTTCGGTCCCTGCATTTTCCAGGATCTCAGATGATAGCTGAAGGCTTTCGTTTCACATCGCTTAAGTTCCGTGGGGGTGGGTGGGGGTGGGGGTAGGAGCCCTTGTGGGGCGTCGTGGTTTGCGCCTCAATGCGTCTATTTCAGCCAGAAGCTCATCGATGTATGCGTTCATCTCATCATCGGTAGGCTCGGCGGCCCTGCGCTTGCGCGGTTTGGGGGAAGGCGGAGTGACATTCTGGCGCTTTCTTGGCGTGAATGTTGGGGTAGCCGTACACCCTCTCGCCGGCAGCAGGTGTTGGGGCAACGGGCGTTTGAAGAGCCTCAAGATAGGGCGTTCAGCGCGTCTCCGCTGATCACACCTTGTTTTTATAATTGTATAAGATCCTTAACAACATCCATCTCGACTGTTACAAATCTCAGTGGTATGCAGTATGCGATGTATTTTTTTAAATCAAAATTAATTCTAAATGTCCAAAGTAATTCGACGAGTACGCTAGCAAACCTCTTTCTTGCTTGTTTTTGTTTATGAACAAGCTTATGCTGCACCCTACACGAACCGCAGGCTCGACAAAGAATGCTTTCTGTCTGTGTTCCGACCCCACACTTACGACATGGTTGTGGAAGTCGCTTGCCTTCCCTTAACCTCCTCATATGAAATCCGCAGTATTCACCCATGCAGCTTCGTCCATATGTGGTGGGTTTTCCGGATAATAACCACGCACACTCGTTCTTGCTTGCCTCATGGCTGTTTCAGTTCCGGTTGCTTCGCTACCAGATGGTACGTCTGAATCTACTCTATGGGATGACTTTTGTCTGATAAAATTGGTCCTGACGGCGGAGAGGGAGTGGGGGCCTGAGCCCCCGCGGCCGGCGAGAGGGTGTACGGCAATATTGGCGCCTTCGCTGTCTTGTGATTTTTTGTGCTTACTATGTGTGGGTACCACGCGCGCAAACTAGGGCTAGGGGGTTCAGATCTGCGTATACAACGTCCTAAACTGTGAGGTGCGCTAGAAACGATACTCTATATACTACTTAAATTCCTTGTGTTGGATGGCAAGATATCAAATACCCATATCAAATAATCAAACAAATGGTATAAAATATAAATGTACAAACTATAAATATAAAAACTAATAAAATAACTTTTCGAATGTCTACGACCATACCACAAGGAAATCACCGGTTCTCGTCTGATCACCGAAGTTAAGCCTTGTCGGGCGAAGTTAGTACTTGGATGGGTGACCGCCTGGGAATACTTCGTGTTGTAGACTTTTTACATTTTGATGATATGATCTAAAACTATATCATTATTTCATTTCTTGGTGAAAAGACTTGTTTGCCAACTACATGGTAGATTAAGTTAAAATTTTGCCTCTATAATATTCAACATAAACAAAATCGACAAACTGATAACAAATATTTGTTTATGAAATATTTAACCAATGAAGGAACGATTAAAATTTACAAACGACTGATATGGTGTCCTTACATATGTTTCCACAATAAAATGCCAAAAAGGCCAAAAATGCTCGTCTTTTTCACTGACTTCGGAAAGGATTTGAATCTTGTAATAAGGAGAGGGAAGCAGACAAGCAGAGTTTAGTTAGTTGTGTTTTGCTTTGAAGGGCGTGTTTATCAGAAAAAACCATGCTGAAATAAATGATGTTATTTTCGGTAGTGTTAGCGTCTATTTGGCTAGAGTCAGTTCAGCTATAGCAAAAATGCAGTTTCAAGAGAGTTCTTAATAAGCGCTTCAGGATATCAATTATCATATAAGAATTGCTTGATAACTTCCTCTTGAAAGTAATAAAATGACGAGGAGATTTTAAAATATCGGTATAAAAGTGTATAAATAAGGCAAACGTTTTAAACAAATAAAGGGATAAAACTGTCAAGATCGGTAAATAAGCCTTTAAATGTTGTTTGCAATAAACGGATGTAGAGAAGCAGATAGCTATCTGAGTCAGACCACTCAACTAAAATATCTAAAAGGGGAGTTTGCCTTTACTTTCAGTCTCGCAATGTAAAATAAATATAAGGATGTTTTTAGTAGATATATTGTCTAAAACAAAGAAACGTGATGTTTAGAGCGAAAAATCATAAAGCAATCATCAACATAGCATTTATAAAAAAGAGGTTTGAACTCAGGAGAACAGTTGTTAAGACAAATGTTGTCATGATAGTCTAGAAAAATATTGACGAAAAAGGGACCAACTGGGGTGAGCCTTTAGCAACGCCGTATTTTGTAGGTAATAATGACTGTTAAACAAAAAATTTGAGTTTTTGACCGATATGTCGACAGGTTTTTTTAAATCAACGAGCTGAAGACATAAAGAATAAGGGAAGGTACAAAAGGCTCTGTTAATAATTATATCAATCGTTTCTTCAATCGGTACGTTTGCGAAGAGAGAGGTGACATCAAAGCTCGCCATGAAGACGTTGTCACTGTCCATGTTACAGTAACGTAGTTCGTTTACAAAGGAAAATATGTTAGAAAGTAAATAGCTGCTAGAGAGAAGGGAAGAGAGGTTGGAAAGAAGGAATTTAGAGGGACTGTAAGAATGAGTCCCTATGGCGGAAAGAATCGGGCGAAAGGGGAAATTGGCTACATGAACTTTAGGTAGAGACCATACAATATATCTATCACAAATGGTGGGTTAAAAAATTAAGGAGCACCACTATTACTATAATGGACCAACTTGTGAAAACACATGACAGATTTATTGTGGATTTACGTTTAAAAGAATAATTCAAAACTTTCAACATGTAACTACATAAACATAACCAAGGGATAAATTAGTTTGTAGAATTGCTAAACATGTGATGATTTTCGTCATCGGCGACTGTACTGTGGTTAGGAAAAACTCTGGAAATGTATTCCCACAGCTATATGCATGAAAATACCTAGAATCGTTGAAATTGTAGTTCAGAAATACTGATTAATAAAATATTTTTATATACCATTAAAAAACAGATCAATGAAATCCTTTGAAATTACAAACCTTTTTTTTTAATTTAATTCAGAGTGAAAACTGCATAAAAATTGTTATCATAAGACCAATTATACTTCCTGAATTTCTTTACAATCGCTACAAAGATTGTTTTTGATGTTCATTATTTTAGAGCATGATTTGGCAATGTTTTGCTATATTTTTGTAATTTTGCTTGTTGTGTTACATTAATCTTTCGATGTATTAGTCCCTTAGTAATGGCAGCGAGTGGCAAATAAAATGTTGCTTGATTGATAAAAACTTGTTTCAACATAAGTGACGTTAGATTAAGACAAAAAAGTTATTAAATAAAGTTTCCCAACATTTGCTTTCCATCTTTACTCAACCAGAAAAAAAACATGAAAATCATAGGCAAAAAATAAAACTGACAAATTCTTGCGATTTGCTCTACGAGACCAAAGACTGGTCTGTAACACCCCCCCCTCAGAAATTACAACCTTGGAGCCATTTAATTATTGATGATGTGTTTTTCCATTGGTCAATCGAACTTTAGTGTTTTTTGCGACTTTGATGTTGAATCTGTGGTGGATTTGTCTGCGGATTTTTCCTATTTCTGTTTTGGCTGGTTTTATTAGTTGGCATGCATGCTTTTTAACAAAAATTTTTTGTGGTCTTTTAGTGCTACGAAGCCGTCTTTATATTTACTGCATTGTCCTTTTTTGTCGACGTTGAGTTAAGTAGCCATTTTTTTTGATGACTTGATAGAGCAATGGTTGTGATTTTTTTTCTCAATGTTTTGCTCTAATAATTGGTTGTATCTTAGTGGCTTTAGTTTGGAAAGTTTGCTGTTTTGACAGAAATGATGATAAGGTTAGATTCATTCGTGATTCGTTTGTTGTTGTGTTTCAGTTTGTGGAGGAATGGGTTGTTAGTTTCTTAAAATTTGAATGATTGAATCATTTTCTGCATGTTATCTTCAAATTCATTTGAAATGTTTATTGGAGAAGGGCTCACAGTCTACTTAAAGCCATATGTGCTATTTAGATTTGTCTTGATGTTAGAATTGAGGAAGAAGAAACTTTCCATCCCATTCTTTTAAAGAACTGCTCAATCTTTTTAATAAGACCTAGATAATTGTTATATGATGATAAAGAAATATTGTTTGGTGAATAGTCAATTTAAAATTCATCCGTTGCGGAAAATCTTTAGTGGAGTGCTCAACAGGTTTTGACTTTAAGCGTAATGGGAATTATTGATTTTTGGGAAATGGATACAAATACATTACGTTAATTATAGAGTGCTTAATTAATACGAATAGAGCTAATTTCATTTGTTAAAGAAAAAAGTAAAAACAACTACACTTTTATAACTTCTATCTCGACCAGCCTGTTTTGTGATTGGTCACTTGTCAGGGTTTATAATAAAAGAAGATTCACACTTATCATATATGCATAAGTTTCGTTATTTACATATAGTTAGTTAGAGACAGGTTTACATATTAGTTAATTTTTGTGTAAAAGTGTTTTCTTCCTATGGCGACAGGACGATACCAGTTGGTTGCATTTGTTAAAAAAAACTATGGTTGATGGATTATTATAATCTTAGTTATCTTCTTTCAACAAAAAATTTAATATTTCTGTTGACTATTTCTTAAAACCAATAGTTATGTCGATTCCGTTTAAAACAGCCAAAGAAAGACTAACTTAAGATGACAATATTTTTCGGATTAAACAGCAATATTAAGGTAACAAAATTCTTAACCTAAATTAATGAAAGTGATGATTTTGAACGCGAGCATTTCTTTATTATATTGAATTCGTCATTTATTGTTTAATACAAAAAAACCGACAAATACGGCAAAAACGTCCTTATAAATCACGCACGAATCTAATTTTATTCTTTACAATGGATTTTGTACATTTATAGCATGCATGCATGGTCACTCTAAAAGCACCTTTATATATACTTTTAAAATGACTATTGAGAATCCTACAGAAGTTGTAAATCCGGTCTTTACTAGCTATGTAAGTTCTGCTATCTGAGACGATTTCGTTTTGAAAAAATTTTTAGAAAAAATTTCACTCATTGGCGTCACCACCCGGCATGTTTGGTGGTGCAATGTAAACATTTAGGTGTTCACTCACTGTAAAAGCAACAAATTTCTAAAGAGATGATTAATGCCAATGACATTAAATAAAAATAGCATGACCAAATTTTTGCGACAGCTATTTGTTAAGTTTAATGTTGTAAAATTACTATAATCACTCTCACACACTGTTCAACAGAATAAAGTGCTATGTCTATTGATGAATGAATGGTCAGATTATTTAGTGCTATTACTAAATGTGGTGTATTAACAGGCTATGCCACTGCTTTCACTGCAAATCAAGAAGCAAAGGAAAGTTAATTTTATCACAGAAACATCTTACAACATTTAAATTTGCTAATCTTGTGAAGCCACTTCCCATTACCATTACTAAATAACCCAGTGAAGTAATAGCCATCTCTCTTACACATTATCCATCCTTTTTTAAACGCATCATTGATGTTTTCATTGTAACAGTGACCATACTTGTTGGGATGATTGATTGGTTTGCAGCATTTTCCTTTTTTGATGCGTTTTGACTGATTGCCATCTTTACGATATAGACCATTTAAAAAATATCCCCTCGGGCAAAGCCTCCAAGTGCTAGTGCTATGTAAAAAAATCCATTGAAATGCTTACTATTTCTAGTTCATTATATTGTAACAAGCATCGAAAAGAAATACAAAAATTTTTTTATCAATGTAAAAACAATAACTGCTGGGAATGACTATATTTTTAATTTCTTTTACGCTAAAACTAAAGCCGTCTTATCAATTGCTTGCAGTTTCATAAAATTAGAGCTGCATATTTAATAAAAGCTGTTGTATATATCAATTGCCTGCTATAAGTGCAAAATCAAACTTGTGTCACTGAAATTCACTTTCAACGAAAATACACCCATACTTCTGCAACGTTCAGAGTCTTTACCATCGTCCATACGGGATTAAATTATCAAAAACTTAGAAGTTTCATTTGATTAGTGAACCTTTCACATTTAAAGGTTCAAACTGTTCAAAGTTTAGACCATTACAATCTGTTTGTAAATTTTAATCGAGACCAAATTTTCAGATAAATTGATTCCTAAAAGTATTAATCTATATAACAGTAAAAAATTTTGTCACATAACGACAAAAATCACACGGCGCAATTACCTTTATGAGCAAGCTTTAATAGAAAACGAATCCGAATAGGGGGCTAAATACTCGCAGGAAGCTTCCTTTAATGGAATAGCAAAACTTTTAGGAAATGCTCGTGGTGTAATTTTACAGCTGGATGAACTTCCTGGGTGCGTTCATAAAGTTCACTTTCCAAATGCTTTTTTAATTTTAACCTGCTCATATCAGACTGGCAATAGAAATTAAATGGCGAAAATTTTAATTCTGTACCGACATACTTACGTGTTTACTGATTTCCACAAGATTTCTTCACAAGTACCTATCTGCATAGTATATGAAGGACTGGAAGGGCAGCATTTTGCTTTTTCAAGTTTTTTAATTTTACCATTCCGTTGTGAGGAGATAGGATAAAAACCAGTGATGAATTTTTTGGTGTTGTCACAGGTTGACCATTCTTTTGTGTCGAGTAAACCCCACCAGTCCTCATCGACGCAATCAGACTGATTAGTGACTAAAAATGGTTTTGATAAAAGATAAGTGGTCAACAAATTAACTTCATATGCTATATTGTCCCAAAATTATTTTACATTTTTTACCATACAAACTTTACAAATATCTTGTGGTTATACATGTTCTAAACATCAACCGTATTCGTAAGATGTAAAATCATTTATTTTTCAATATTAAATCTTCATTTTTTACCAGAACTAGCATTTCTTTCAAATTATTTCCGCAAAGAAATCAAACTTTCATTTTAATTCCAAATTAAACATTCAATCAAAGCCTTGCCACATAAGCACTGTTATCGTCCTTTTCCATTAACCATTTTCGACTAACTATTTGACTTTTACTTATAAACAAATCCTTTTCACAGATAACGAATTTGAAGGAGACGTTTACAACTCTGGTGTAGCATAGCAAAACAAACCTCATACCGACCAATAAAAATTCAACTAGAGTTAAATATGAGATGAGTAATCAATAAAGCTTGACTTACATACCAGATGATGACACTCTTAAGACATTACCACTCGAGTAAATATCCAGATCACTCCACTGAAGTACGGGCTTATATTGACCAATATTGCAGTTAGTGTTGCACGATGTGTCACGTGTCACGTCATGTTTCCATAAATTTAAAGAGCTCATTTTACCAACAAATGACATCTTTCGATCAAAAACAGCATTCCAGCATTCAAGTTTTTGACCGATTGTAACCACTCCACCACCACGTATTAAAGGTAGAGAAAGAGGAATGAGAGATTTGTTGAAAATTTTAAATGCATCAACCAAAACTTTTATCGTACTTTCACTTATGACGACGGCAAGATGATGCCATAGCCCATCATTAAAATGTGAGATATCAAAGTTTCTACATTATAGAAACGTAACGATAAGTTGGAGACAATTGAACAAGAAAACAATGCTACCTTATTAAATCTATTCTATGGAATTATATTTAAATGAATTCTTGGAAGTTTCTTTCTATTAAAGAAATAATTACTAGGATGGTTGGTATATTTTGTACTTATTAGTTTCTTATGAAAAGTTTTTTTTTACGTTTATGTGCAAAAATTTTAAAAAAAATGTTTAATCATTCATTGATTTTATGAACACAACCTTTTCATTTTATAATAAATTTATTACAATTATCTTGCATATCAAGGCAATTCCTAGTAATGTCCATGTGCCCGAGTAAAACTTTCTGGCAAAAATTTTTCACTTTTTTCCCGGGCGGAGAGCATTGCATTTATTTTACTTATATGTCATGTGACTAAGAATAAACCAATCATACTTAAACATACACAGCACTTATAAAACAATGTATAATAGTGTATAGATTATCGTAATATAACATATGAATTCAAGCAATTTCATTGGTCGTGAGCTATGATCCATAGAGGACAGGTACACCGAATTCGCATTACAGATTATTTTTTGTTTTTAAATTTCAAACAAACGGCAAAATGATTATAATATAAACCTGAATTTATCTCTGAATAGGCAAATGAAGACATATAAAAACACCTGTTTGGAGCAGTCGACGGATTTGAGTAAAAAGGAAAGAAAATCGGCTTTTAAACGTAGATTTGTACTTGTTTACAATAACAAAATTTTAAAAAAATTGATCAGCCATAGCTTACTTGTTTTGTTTGCCACACGCATTTCAGCTACCCAATAGCAATTCTTCAATCTTGTAGATCATGAAAGCGTGATATTTGCAAAATCTTTACTTTTTTAAATTTCCAAGTAGTGGGGAAAACAAAAACAAGTTGTTTTAGTAATTTACTTAAGTTAAATTTGAAAATTTTTTTGGTTTTATTAATAAGTCGGCAACTCGTAGCTACTTTTCAGCTCTTATCACGTTCTAATGACGTACATTACGTGGGTATAATATTTCATGTAAATCTCCTAAGTCACATCTTTCACTGCATGAACACAAAACAATCAAATGTGATCTATTTGTCAAATTATGTATTCTTAAACAATAGTAGTAGTTTCGTATGGTAGTCACTCCTCCATGTGTGTCTCTTAAACAATGTATATTAACAAACAATGGATATGAGCCAGCTAATTTATTTTGATGAACATACTATATAGCATTACCTTCAGAAAAATATGTTCGCTAGCTAATCATTCTTAATTTTGTACAAAACTGTTGCACATCTAAAAAATCCTTTGCCGAACGCGTATAAATATTTTAAACTTTAATTAAAACTTGAAAATTACCTTAAATATGGTTGATGAAATTTTAAACAGTAATTTGAATAAATAAAATTAGTTTTCCTTACTCTTTTGTCAACGATTTTATTATAATGATGATATGTTCTTCTTCAAATCCCACGAAAAATTCATCAGGACTGTCCTTACACGCGTACGAAAACAGCGCCATTCTTTGTGTTGTGTTTGTGTTCATCCAAAACATCAATGTCATCTCTGATATATTAGGCATCACATTATCCAAAAGAATCAAGTTCTCAACATGTGCATTGGAAAATACCAAATCGTAACTTTTGTTGAGGGCTTAGATGAATTGAATGAAGCGTTGGTCAAGTTTTATTTATCTAGCTAAAATATAATATCGCTACGTAGCTAAATGTAAAACTACAAATACTTACGCAGTTGCTGTTTGCAGCTTTCGTTGTACATCTAAAAAGAAAAGAAAAAATTAAAACAACGAAACAGCATAATAAATGAACTGTCGATACATCTGTCGATACAATAGTTATCTTTTTGAAGCAGTTTTAATATTTGTCCCAATGCATCAAGTATACCAAAAGTTTGTGTTTTGGTTAAATCATTTGCATTTAGGTACATAAATCAAACATAAACTTGAAAATTGGTTCTTACTTTGACCGGTGTATTGAAGAAAACATAATCATAAAATCGATTTTGTTTTAGATCTTTTCCGTTGCTTTTGCTCACAGTATTATGTAACATTTCACACAGACTCCAACGTCCTTGGCTTAAACGTCTTCTGTGGTTTATAGATAGACAACATGGCTCTTTAACGCATTTCACGATGCATTCTATTTCGTTTTGCACTTCAATTTTCTTAAATACATTCCCTTGAAATCTCCACCCTAAGACAAAAAAAACACAATATCATTTTCAATTTAATATGAATTTCGAATAAAATTTTCACAAAGCAATTTTAGATCATTCTAATGATTATATGTAGTAAAAAGTTTGCTTGCCGAGCACGAACTTCTGCAAATATAAATATTTTTCTTCACCTTTGTATGAAGCATTATAGCAAAACTGAAAACATTTGCTACGACCAAGAACATTTAATAAGCAGAATAAGATAGTTATTAAGTTTAAGCATTTGTTTGAGAACAACATGTTGCTGTGTCTCTTGTCAAATTGAAAACATTTGGCTTGCTAAAGCTAAAACTATTAAATTCATAAAGTAACCAATCATTATCTTTGTTGTCTTGCAAAAAGATGGTGTCAATTCCTCAAGAGTTTCAATATTTAAAGCTGTGCGGATATCAAAATTATTATATTTTAGTGAATTTCAATTGAGTTCAATATCTTAAATACAGAATTAAAATTTTAACTTCTTTTTCTAACTATCAATTACTGCACAGCGATAAAGCGTTATTATGTCAAGAATATTTCGAGTCGATTTTTGAGGTAAACTTAATTGTATGACACGCCATAATTTCGTATTAGCACAAAAGTCATTACGTATTTCAAATAAACGACATTTTTTGACGGCAAACATGAAATGTTGTTATGACACAAGATATTATTAAAAAAGTAAGGTCTGTAAAAAAATTTATATACATGGATGCTCAACTACGTAAACATGATGGCATTTATTACAGCAATGCTTATTTAAAATGTACTGTTTTTATAAAATCTATTGGAAAATCTGATGAAGATTCTTTGCAACGTTGTCATATGGCAACAAAAACAAAACAGCTGGAAACACAAGAAGACAAAATAACTTGCCCACTTAAGATTAAGTTTTCACCCGAGTTCATTTTGAATTTAGTTTTCATGCGTGTTTTCAATACTATTAAAGTGCTTGAAAAAGAGTTGTAAAAGAAAGTCATGAAAGGATAAACAGTGTAATACTTCATTTTGCCTTTTCCAACGCCAAATGACAAGCATTTTAAAATTTACCAAACATCGCTTTTTATAATATATGCTTAATAACATTATTAGTATTTTTGATGCCTTTTCGAGAGTACCTGTTAGTTATATGTAAATATCGTAAATTTTTATTATTTTCTTGTTGTCCATACATACGACAGCTTTCACACACTTGGGAAGTAAGTTTGATCGTGTTTTGAGTGATTTTAAAAGCTCTCACTTAATTTCCCCGTGTTTTGATCAGCTCATCATAATACGAAAACCATTTAGTTATACATTAGCATTTTACACAATTCAAATACGTGGTGACAGATCATTAGCATTTGTGTAATATCTATATGATAAACGAACACTTTCAATAACTAATAATGGCTAGCAAGTATATTTTTTGGCGAGCGAGTCTGCAATTGCGCAATTACAACACATTTTCTAGAATAAAAATACTAACGAAAAAGATATTTGCAGAAACAAAAATTAGTACTCAAGGAATACAAAGTACACGTAGGTAGCGTGTCAAATATTAAGGCATAAAATGAAGTAGATCAACGCAGGAATTGTGTATTCCATAGTATTCACGCAATTTTTTGTGATTTAAAATGTGCTTATAGTACCAACTGTTTGCTGAGCCCATCCACCGAGATTGCACATGGTCACATCGCAAAAAGAATAATCCTTAAGATTTTATGCAATTTGCAGTGGCGGTAAAGTTATTTATACTCCTTCGTTTTGGTACTGAAAGATGAGACAACATGTCATTTGAAAGGTGAATAAATGGGCTTAAAAAAGATATAAAATACATTCAATTTCAAATACATTCTACATTATTGAACCCCAAATCCGAATTCGAATTTTTGTGATGCAACTCTTATGTATACGTTTTAGCTTTTGTTTTATTTTTCAACCGTGCTCTCGTTTGACGGTTTTTCAGCTTTTTATTGCAATATACGTATTCATTGTTGTGAATGATCGCATTTTACGGTTATTATTTTAATGGTGAGGGTTGAAAACATACCATGTCTTTAAATACGTGGTTGCACGGTTTGGTTTGCATGTTTTGGCACGGCCGCCATGTTAGTGGTAAATACAATAGTATATTTTATTATAGATATTGTGGGTACTAGCCGTCGTGAGCGAGCCACCAGTCTATTTCTGATGAAAAATTACGAAAACCTTAGAATGCAGTTAAATGTTGATTACTCTTTGATTTGATCATGTATATCATAGGCTTTTAGATCGATTTTTTTGAAATTGTGGCAACCAGATGTGGAGGTAAAAACAAAATCAGAGATAAGAATATAACTGTAGGGAGTTGGTTTAATAGACGCAAGAATGATCATGAAGAGTGTGGTGGAAATGGTAGATTTAGTGGTCGTAGTGGAGATGGAGAAATAAGCAAGATAGAAAGATTAGACAAAACAATAAAAATTAAGAGCTCGGAATAGAACTAAAAATAAGTGACATGAGATACAACTTTATTGTTGATTATATTTAAATTAGTTGTAATAGTACCTTACCTCCCACAAATTATATTTTTTTTTAGCATTTGAACGCAAAACATGGTGCAAGTCAACAAGAAAGTGGATCAGGTAATCCAAGCACTTGAAAACCATCAACTATTTTCTGTAAAAAAGCAACTAAACGGTAGTCTTGATATTAGTACACTTGATCAATTGCAAAATAAAAGCCTTTCTCTCATGTTGCAATGTCAAATTGTCTTAAATCCAACTGTCCAGGAGAAGGAAGACGATGGTGCCACGAATTATTAACACGGTGAACAAAATGGAATGGATGTCGATTGCCTATTTTTCGAGCAATAAAGTACATAAGTTAAAAGAAACGGATACACACAGCACGAGTCATTTTGATTTTTATTTCTAAACAAGGTAATCACAAAAACTATACTACAACTTGTGCAACATTTCACTTACGTTTAACAATTATTTGACACCTTTGCGCGTGAATCGACAATATAGCTTTAGTAAATATTTTACACGGCACAGTTTGATCAACTATAATCAACTACAAACCGAACTGGACTGCAATAGAAAGTATAATACAGCTGGCATTAAATCCTTCTCCGTCGTCGTATTTTAACTCATCGTCTTGAAGTACCTCCCATACCTTAATGAAGAAGAATACACAAAAAATGAATGATTTGATTCAAAACTGAATTTCGCAAAGACGGATTGGGGGGAGAGCAGTCTCAAAATTTATATCACATGAAATTGAGAAAGTACATGTACGTACTCCAATACTTTCAGTTCTTTTTATTGCAACAGGATAACCAAAAATCATAAAGGAAATCATTCACTGCACATTTGAAATCATTATGTTATCATTTTCTGAAATTACCATACATTTTCTCTGAGTTTGAAAATACTTCATGTTACTATTGACTAAGTCAACTCTTTAATAATTAAAACTTACGTTAAAATGCTGCTGGTACAACAATAACTACAATTGCAACATTAGTCGCCTTTCTTACGAGGTTCAATGTACACATAATAAAAAACATGCGAGTACAGTATCAGATGTTGCCATCAGAAAAATATTAATTTGATGAAAAGATTTTCCTTCTCGACTAGCGAGATCTCGCTCCTCATATTCCACAGCAGAAGAATTGTTAAATTAATGGCTTTAGCCAAATGAAAAGTTCATTCAACCTCACTGTAACAAATAATACTGTGACTTGGCTAGAAAGCCCTTTCCTGAAAAACCGGAAAACCAGCAACAAACAAGTGTACACATCGTAAACATTCCAGGAAAACTCGCACCAACCGACATTAGCAAAAATCTTTTTAAACATTTATAACTTTGTTTTGACCACTGATAATCATCTGGTTCACCAAGAAATTAAATCATCCCATTAAACAAGAACTGTCACGAGGGAATGCGAAGTATATTTTATACATCGAGCACACTATCATGATAAAAATGAAGTTTAAGTACGTGATTTTAGGCAACAGTCCGTCTTGTAGAGTCGTAGTTTTAATGTCATCCAACTTTCTATTTTTGCGAGACAATATTCATAAAACGAACGAGTCTTTCCAGACTTCATTTTTGGTATTATTACACAAAGTATTGAAATACATACCTGAAGCGGTTCGGCTTCCGCTACTCGGGGACGACGACCTAGATCTGGATGATGAGCTGTCAAATGATGAAAATCCGTATGAAGAATGAGAAGGGCGGTAAGACCCACTTCCTCCAAACCAGTTGCCAAAAAAGCCACCAATATTGCCATAGTGACCAGTGTTATGGTATGACGGTGTGTCGTAATAAGGTTGTCCCCTCCAACCATTACCCCAAGCGCTGTTATAAGGATTTTGATAGTAGTTGGTTCTGCTTCCTCTTTAAAAAAAAACTTTTATTTAAAAATTACATCTTAGGATCGACTTAGATAAAAATAAACTTTGTTGTCCAAATTATGTATCAAAAAACGGGACGGTGGTCGGCAGCAAGTTGATAATCAAAAAGGAGGTTATAATTTATTTCAATAGAAACAAATAACGTCGAGCATGCATATAAGAATGTATCTTTCGTCAATTATCAATATCCCGCGGCCTCTGAGAGAAAAAATAAATTTCAAGGTTTATGTAAATAGCTAAATTTTTAGTTCTCAACAAGTGTGTGTTAACACTATAACGCTCAAATGAAAACAAAACAAATCTAAAAAAATTGCGAAACAAAAACATAGTAAAAAATGAAGTTTTTGATAATACAAATTTAGCTACCCACTGGATGTCAGCTTACCCGCCAAAAAGGTATCCCAGCAATCCTCCAGCTGCAGCTCCTAATTTTAATCAACAAAACATTATTAGACATTGCGTAAAAATCTTATTTTTATCAACGCATTATGTACTTCTACTCATCAGACACAAATACAGACATTTCACTACACAACACAAACGTTTTTTATCTAACAATAATATTCTGGAGATACGTAGATATTGTTTTTTTAACATGAGCATCATGTGAAATTTGTTATCGCGCAACGTCATTTATTCTCTGTAAATTGAACATATTTTTTACAAAAGTATCATGAAACAGATATTTTTCATGCATATCTTAACATCATTTGTCAAAAAGATAAAATTTCCTTGTGATTAAAATTGAAAGAATACGAGTATTAATCCTCACCTGTCCAGAATCCTGGATAACCACTTGATTCTGTTGATGTTCCTGAGCCCGCTGTTCGTTCTGTTCCTGTCAACAATGATACAACTGTTACTTGTAATTTTCTTAAGTAATTTCACGCAATGAAAATAGATGAATAATGTGCTTTCAAGTTTCATCATAACCTGTAACAATTTACTACAAAAATGGGCAAGTTTCCTCTTAGCAAAACCACGAAGAATGCTTCAGGTTAAAACAAACGTTCATGATGAAATGCTTCAGGTTAAAACAAACGTTCATGATGAAATGCTTCAGGTTAAAATAAACGTTCATGAAGAAATGCTTCAGGTTAAAATAAACGTTCATGATGAAATGCTTCAGGTTAAAATAAACGTTCATGATGAAATGCTTCAGGTTAAAATAAACGTTCATGATGAAATGCTTTTCCGTATATATGAACCGTAGTTGTAACAGAAACTTTGCATGTTAGCTAAAATATTTTTCGATAAAACACATGAGAAATTATAGTTTTCCGTTCTGTTGACTGAGAATGTGCAAAGCAGTGTAGAATAAAAATCCACACAAAAAGAATATGTTAATTCTTTTAAAAGGATGTCAAATACGTGTGAAATTCATTTTCTAAGAAAAGAAAAATTCAAAATGAAAATTCATTGATCGATGTAGTCAAAGCATTCTAACATAATGTCGATAAACAAAATCTACACTTAAAGAGGAACGCGGGTACATAATTGGATAGACATACGTAAAGCATGCAGAAATCAAAGAAAGTTAGTTCACAACATCTCAAATCTAACAATAAGCAATTCTTTCGTATATACGTAGCAAAAGATTTCGTGCTTTTTTAAAGATAATGTATGAATCAGTCTGTAAATTTTTTCGTATTTCCGCTAAAACGCCAGCGTTAGTGTCTGCAGTTTATTGAATATAGTGTGAAATATTGTGTTGTAACTGCTACGTAGGTAGATATGATTGGACAGAAACGAAACACCGTTAAAAAAAGACAAACACAACGACTAATAGCTGGTAACATTCGAAGTCCTAAATTACCAGACATTGAGAAAAATTGAAGGGAACAAATCAAGTTCATTATTAACTAGCAAAGATGACAAAATCTTATATTAAATTTGATGATCATTTCCGAAGCATAGTTCCACATCCCCCAAAGCCCAATGGTCAACAAACCTCTTGCATGCTCTCGTTTAAAGCCAGGAGGGTCCGCACTATAAGGGGGAGGTGGCCCATTTGATCCTAAAATAAACAATGGTAAACTAAATAAAAATTTCCCGTAAAACTTTTATTTATGACGAATGAAAATAAGCACTTACGCGTAACTGATGTTATATAACATACAATATACAACGAGCAGAGGAATGGATTAAAACACAAATAGAAACAAGCTAAAGAGAGAGAAAAGAAGGAGATGCCTACCTTGAGTACCTCTGTAATTAGGATCTGGATTGTAAGGATGGGACATTGTTTCGTTGTCTTTATGGATTGTTAAGGATGATAAAAGATTGCTATGAGCTGAAATATACTCATAGACACGTTAAACTTGATTTGAGAAGTTCACTCGATAGATTAATAAGCACCACGTAGCTATGCCCAATAACGGTTTATACTATTGTGTCTTAGAGGAGGAAAATATAATTAAACGCTATAAAGGATATAAATTATTTCGGTTGCTGACACACGTCTTGAACAGCATAAAGAAAATTAGAGCAACAAAAACAAACATAAACAAATCACCAAAGCCAGATGAACCAATGCTGCTATACCTAAAGACAAGGATTTCATGTTAACCATCTTTTAAAAATATACCTCAAAATGTGGGTAGCCGAAAATTTATGGTCATTCTCAAAAACATGTTTTGTTTACTTTTTTTTCTGTATGAAAGTATACATCTTCATTTATGAAATATACGTATACTAGATGACAAATCTCATTCGGTTAATACAGCAGATATCATTATCAGACCTTGATAATGGCAGTATGCAATGCTAAAAAATTTTTTTGTATAAAAAAAACTCATGCAAAATAATCAATTTACTTTTACCTTGTTCGACTTCCTCTTTCATAATTTCTCCATCCCTGATTATTTGAGGAACGTTTCCTTGCGTACCCCTTATCTGTCAATTCAATGGAGTACTGCAACTAGAAAGGTAAATCGCAATAATTGTTTAACAACCTGTTTCTTTCAAGTTAAAAGCAAATTTGTAGTTTCATAACTCACGATGTTCTTGTCTAAGAAGTATTCACAAACTATAATGTGCGGGCACAGGAACATGAATTGAAGGCAAATTTACCCTTACATTTTCATCATAAAACTTTCCTAGTCATAAATGACGTAAATAAAAACCATGCAAATCAGTTAGAAATTCAAAAGATCATCTGAATAAAACAACATCAAGATCATCGCGTGACTTTAAAGTCTTTACAGTTATAATAACGTATAATATATATTATACGTAGATTATTAATACAAAACAATGTAGGCAACATCCAAAAATTGCTGTAGTTTTGTGACAAGCTTATATATATATATGTAAAGTTTATCAAAAAGACTAAATTACTGACAGCCATCAGTAGATTATGCGAACTTTTCGAAAATTACACATAAAAATAATACAATAAATAAAGGCATATATGACTGAAAACCTCAAATTTGTCAGATTTTGCATTCGTGTGTGAAGATTTGTATGTTTCCCCAAAATATGAGGCATCACATCCCAATTAAATTTGTAAACCATTGAACTTTTGCATTGTTTAGGAGTAGAATCTTTATATGAAGAGAAATTTTCAATTTCGCTTGTTTCCCAATGATTTAGAAAATTTACAGGTTTTTTGAGGTGATGAGAAATTTTCACTGAGGGAGAAATTTTTTACGGAGTATCGATCGTTTTGTTGTTTACTAAACGACTAAATTACGTATACAAGATGGCATTAATACTTTTAAACAGTGCTCTCACAATCAAATTTCCTAGTTCCTGAGAAAATGCTTAAAAATTCATCAAATTCATCATGTAAAAATTACTACAAAGCGTGATCACATAGGCTCAAAAAGTGCTTCTTTGATTTTAAGGGAGAATGAGGTTTCACTGTATCAATGATGAGATTTAAGAAGGTGTCGGTAGATATGAGAGTTTTTGTCTGTTGTGGTATGTTCCCTAATTCTGGTGGAAAAATGGCGCAAAGTTTCACCAATATATCAGGAAATACATCCTGTGCAATTGAGTTCATATACCAGCATGGATTTAATAATTGGTTCCCATTCAAAATAACCGATAAACCTAATTTTTTAATTAACCAAACAAACTCCCTAAATAGTTGAGTAAGCAATGGCAATGCCAGTCTATTTTTACTCCAATTATGCAAATATTTTTGTGTTCATTCACTGGAAACATTTCACTGGAAACATTTCACTGGAAACATTTCACTGGAAACATTCACTGGAAACATTTAACTGGAAACATTTCACTGGAAACATTTTACTGGAAACATTTCACTGGAAACATTCACTGGAAACATTTAACTGGAAACACTTCACTGGAAACATTTTACTGGAAACATTTCACTGGAAACATTTCACTGGAAACATTTTACTGGAAACATTTCACTGGAAACATTTCTGCTTGAAACATTTCACTGGAAACATTTCACTGGAAACATTCACTGGAAACATTTAACTGGAAACATTTCACTGGAAACATTTCACTGGAAACATTTCACTGGAAACATTTCTGCTTGAAACATTTCACTGGAAACATTTCACTGGAAACATTCACTGGAAACATTTAACTGGAAACATTTCACTGGAAACATTTCACTGGAAACATTTCACTGGAAACATTTCACTGGAAACATTTCTGCTTGAAACATTTCACTGGAAACATTTCACTGGAAACAAATATACCTAATTAATTTCTAAAAAACACAAATAAGTTTTGCGAAAAAAATTTGCATTGTGGGAGTAAAAAATCAGGCTGGTTTTACCACTGTAATTGAGCTTACCCCACAGGAGCCTCGAAGTATATAAGGATCATCAGGGTAATCATATCCCTCACAGTTTACTTGAATCTTGCCAAATCTGTACTTGTAGTCCATGTCTGTTTTACATTCCCACTTGATACAAAGGAGAATTCACAACAGTTAATGTTTACGATAGCAAATCCAAAACTTTCCTGCAATGAGGTTTTTCAAATCTGTTGCATCAATTATTGGCACTCTTCAGTGTGTACAGAAAGAAACAAATTCTAAAGAATACATACAGCCATCTTTTCAAAAATGACTTTCAAGATGACTTAATTCACTCTTTGGAATTTGTTTCTTCTATACATTTCAAAGCATTAACTAGATGCAACTTGAAGTGCCTTAAAGTCAATGTTATCTTTAAATATTTATACAGCCTTACCACACATTCAAAGTAATAATAAATGACCTCTAGAATGAACTCTAACAGAGCTTGTGGTGCATACCTGGGCATCATAGCCATCCCATCCCCGATTATAACATTGTATGACCTCTGGAATAAATGCTGAACAACCAGCAGAGCCACCTGTGCATGTTAACTGAGGAATGGGAGTACTTCTCCTTCCTTTAGTCATTCTGCCTTGGTATAGGGTAAGTACTTCAATATCACGAAGACGAACTTTGTCACTACCTGTAATGAATAATGTGGTCGCAGTCTGTCTGAAAAGTAGGAAATCTTACATGAAAATATTGGGATAGCTTTGTAAACAACGAGGAACACAAAGCTTTCAATGACATTTGATACACGTCAGTTTTGTAATATAAATAACAGAAACAAAACAAACAAATTATTGAGTTACATTGCTTCAAATGCTGCTCGTGTGAAATTTTATCGAGAAAAGTAACTGTCCAGTGAGTGCAGAGTGAACAAGACGTTCAGCCTTCAAGTGTTTATGTAAAAGCACAAGATGTCAAACTCGGCCATTTTTGACAAAACATGGGAATCCAACTTGATTTGGCAAAACCAATCAACTAAATTTAACGTAATCCTTATTATCAACTTAACTAACTCACCAGCAACGAAGTACTCGCTCAAAATGAGCCAAATCAACAAAAGAAAAAACTGAATTGAGAGAATTCCAGACATTGATGGAACTTCCATTATTTAATGAATAATGAAATGCAAAACATTCCACGACAAATTCAACTCAAAATAAATTTGTGAATGAAAGCCTAGCTTGCTCTTTTCAAAACACGTCTGTTGAATGAAGCAAATTTTCAGAGAAAGAAAACGATACCACCTTTTCGCACTTGGAAATTGTCAACATATACGGCGTTATAAAATGGACGACAGTGTAGTAATGACGTAATGTTTACATGGATGATAAATGACAAGATTTCATTGGTCGAAAGAAATTGTATTGCATTTGCTTCAATCAAGAATAGAATAGATGTACAATTTGAAATTGTACAAATATTGTTTGACATACATAATACGTTTATTACGGTTTAAAAGCAATATTTTTTTCATGCATTGTCCTGAATCTTCCTTTAACTATGTGTACAAATTCACACGATTCAGATCCTAACGAAATTTTTTCGCACAGATTTTGCTTTATTGTTATCGGATTGAACAAGATTTTTTGGAGTTAATATATTTCCATGATTAAAAAGTACTTCTATTCAGCTTCTAATTCTTTTTAATTAAATGTTGTCTGCGAAAACTGAACCATCAATTATGAATTTAAAGAAATTGTTTTGATGTATTGAAAAAAATAATTCGGAATGTTTAATTTTTCAGTTTTTTTAAAGTTGTCCAAAGTTGTTGTAATTCTTTTCAAATATTGCCTAGGTATGTTTGCTTATATTTTTTCAATGAAGTACGATATATCTTCTGATTAAGGAGTAAGGACCATTAATCATAGAAGAAAAAGTCATCCCAGTTTTCATAAATCTACTAATTAGTTTTCGCCAATTCAGCAATTTTAAATTTCTTTCAATGTAGTTGCATTCCTTTAATCCTTATGACATAGCCCTTCTACGTACAGAACAAGGTTAACTTTATATGATTTTTTACAATACGTCGTGTTCATGATAAAAGTACGACTTCCGTCGAGGTTGTCGTTTTCTTAATTCCCATCAAAGATCAAGATGAGATGTTACTGCCATTATTGCGACGTCAAGCATGTAATCGATTTTCTTTCAGTCCACGGTAGAATATCTATGGTTGTGTGTGTTTACTTTGCTTTACGTATGATGCGGGCATGCCATGCTGGTAACACTAAGTAAACGAATTTCGAAATGCATTTGTTGGAATGAATGCATTTTTAAAAATCTATTCAGGGGGGGAATTGCTTCTGCCAACCGTATCAGAGTGGCTAGTCAAAAATTGCGTATAGCATTTGCACAAAAATCACTGGAGATGACCTTAAAACCACGATAGAGATAAGTATTTGTGGTTTTATTCAGAAATCAAGGATATAAATTATAAAATGCATAAGTAAATTATATGAATATTTTATGAAGAGTAATGTTAACAAACACAATTCCACACATCGTTAAAAAATGCTAATATTCTCACCTATTTTGGAAATCGTGCCGCTTTTTCACACACACGCTATGCCTTATTTGCTGCAATTTATTAAATTACTAAAGAGAAAAGTTGTTGAAATCTTTATTAAACATACCACAAATTTTATTCACAACAGTATTACAAGGCAACGAAAAAATACTTCCAGATAAAACAAGTTCAGAATAAAATTTTTATTTCTTTAGATCGTTAAGCCTGAGAAATCGGCAATGATTTGAAAATATCAAACTCTTCTCTCTCCATTCAATGAGTACGTACTGTAACAGATAAAATCAAGGCATCTCTCTTCGAGGCAGGGGATCTTTGTAAACTTCAGTATATTTCACCATAGCCCCCAGGGTACCAAGTGCGCATGCCCAGCCAAGGCCCACTGGTATGTTTCGAGCTGAAAAAAAATTATAGTGTGACAGGTTCGCTTCGTAACAACGACCTATCGGAACAAGTGCGGCATATTACCAAATGATTACAACCAAGAAAGTTCTAAGTCATCGCAGTCTGGCCTGAGAACAGCTAAAAATGTTCACGCAAGCAGGGCACATAGAATGAACGACATTAAGATATCACATACGATAGAAATTTAGCTACGATCAACGATGTAATACAGTGGTTTTTGTGCCAAACCATTATGCTACACTGGAAATGTAGAAGACGACCGGCTTCCATATGTATGATCTCTACGTATGTCTTGACTGGATATTGCTGCATAAACTATGTAATTTTCAATGAATACAAAAATCGTAGCAATTTCGCGTATAATTTTATTTTTATTTTTCTGAAACTTGGTAAAACTACAAAGCTCATATTAAGCTTTGAAAGATAAATTGTTAAAGATATAAGATTTTACCAAAAAGTAGTTTTCTATTTGAAGTGGTATGAATTCATCATTAAAGTTTATTATTTATTAGATTTCTTGAGGAAGCCACTACTATTGTATGTTTGGGCGATGGGGCACTTAATTTGCACATGTAAGCACGCGAGCAAAAACAGATGGCATAAAATTTAATCTAAAGGTGTACAAAGAATATTCAAATGTTAAAAACTGATTCTTTTCCGAAAAAGATGAGCACAAAATACATTTCTGTAGGAAAGCAAAGTGTCGCAGTAAAGAACAATATATTGCAAATCGTTAATTTACTTATTTTCGTAACTCATTTTTGTTGCCACAAAAGAAAATGACCCAGGGACGCCGCTAAAGATATTTCCATAAAGCTTTTCATAAACAATTGTAATTAAAGCAACAGAAGGAAATCAACGTGTACGCACTGCGTGCCTATTTTAGTATATGTAGTTATTTCTAGGCCGACAATATATACATGGAAAAAATACATCACACGTACATGTAACCAGTATAAATTTGCGATGACAAAACCATTGAAAGAGATAACGTAAAATATTTTAATACAGAAGAATTAGAGATTGGAAATTATGTCAAATTTTGGAAATCACTTCCACTCATTTTTACACACTTGGTAATAAAATTTTCCAAATTAAAATGCATAGATCACAGTTTGTATAATATATATTAAGACAATAATAATCAGAGGGTGAACTGAAAGAAACCCCCAACAAATCACATCTTTACTTTAAAACATGAATGGATGTATGTGACGGGTTAAAAAATTGATTTAGTTTAGTTTACGCAAAAGTCTTTGCTTTAGAAACAAAGCTTATACAGCCATTTGCAATTGACCCAGAGGCGTGCATAAATTAAATCTTTGTTACAGTTTCAAAACTTGAATTTACTAACGGCTAACTCATTGTTGCTAAGGAGTACGCGTTAAGTTATGGAAAATGTTGTTTTATTTAATAAACACCCTTGACATGTCGAAATTTGGCAACTATGGAAAGACGTTGATATTGGTGTGTCTTTGTCGTAGATTCGTGGAGCAACACTTTGTTATTAACCAATGCTATCTCAGGGTTACGCCTTAAAAACAATCAGATAGCTGTATAGCAACGTCAAGTTAACTGTATGGTAACGTCAAGTTAACTGTATAGTAAAGTCAAGTTAGATGTATAGCAACGTCAAGTTAGATGTATAGTAACGTCAAGTTAACTGTATAGTAACGTCAAGTTAGCTGTATAGTAACGTCAAGTTAGATGTATAGTAACGTCAAGTTAACTGTATAGTAACGTCAAGTTAGCTGTATAGCAACATCAAGTTAGATGTATAGTAACGTCAAGTAAGCTGTATAGTAACGTCAAGTTAGATGTATAGCAACATCAAGTTAGATGTATAGTAACGTCAAGTTAACTGTATAGTAACGTCAAGTTAACTGTTAGTAACGTCAAGTTAGCTGTATAGTAACGTCAAGTTAACTGTATAGCAACATCAAGTTAGCTGTATAGCAACATCAAGTTAGATGTATAGTAACGTCAAGTTAACTGTATAGTAACGTCAAGTTAACTGTTAGTAACGTCAAGTTAGCTGTATAGTAACGTCCAGTTTTTTAACTACAACAAACGTTTAATTTATGCACGCCTCACGGTCAATTGCGAATGGCTGTAAAAACACATTGTTGCCAATGGGTAAAAAATAAAAAATTATGCATGCAACTTTACGTTTGTGCTTGTTACAAACCTATTGTAAAATCTAAGGGACTACAAACTTTATCATAAACTGTTTTTTGACTAACAGTAGGATACGTGAATAATATTATGCCATTGAACATTCGCCTATTCATCGCAACTGTTATTTCAGAACAATGTTTTTGTTTCAACAATACGCATGCTAAGTATTTCTTTTTTATTCTTCTACTTTTTATGGAGTAATTAAAGTTACAGTTGACAATTGTCAAATTACACAATTGCTTCATTTATTCTTTAACAGTATGATTCTATTTTTATAACATTACTCAAAGAATGAAGAGTTCCGTACACAACGCACAACGATCATTTTATATGAGAAGTTTCTTTTTTTATCCACCTCTTGTGAATTTTGTCAAATGAAACATTACATATTGAATGCAAAACATGCTGTTTTTAGTTCACTAAGCTCTGATTGGTATAACTTCAATAAAGTATGATGTAGTGAATATATTAAGTATACGTAATATATGGTACACATGCATTGTGCTGTAGATAAGTTGAAGGTGTGTAGCAATTACCTTTCATTCCAAATATGGAACCAGCTAAAGCACCACCAAATGCCCAATTTATGTAGTCATCCTTCTCTCGTACTGAAGCCAAAGCACAAGTTGAGCCAGCAAACAGAGCCCCTGCACTGCCTAGGGAAATTATAGAGAACTAAAAATAAATCCAATTACGTATGTTCCACTATCAAGACCTCTGACAATTGACGCTTCATTTTTCTTGAAAACAAACGATGTTGTCCACATTTCTACCATTCTATGCCCTATTGTTTATGTACACACATATACAAAATCTGGACCAATTATCACTTTATCTAACACTGGTCAGTAAAATTTTAAAAATCTCAGGCTTCAACATATCTGTTAGCAAAATGCTGAAAAATTACTGATTATGTAACCCAGATTCTAGCCCAGATTACATAGCCGGTTTCTCATCTTTAGACATTTCAACACTTCTATTTTATGAATCACATGAGCAGAAAGTTTATGTTTCAAAACAACCATAAGACTTTCAGGTTTGTTATTCAATACAGTTTCAACCAATAATCGATAGCCAATACACTGGTATCAGGTATGCACATCTTACCAATTAATATTGAGTACCGACTGACTAATCCTAAAGCTTGAATAATATTTGGTTTGGGATGTGGAGCAGGTGTCATGAAGGCTGCAGCCACACTTCCATATATGGCTCCTAAAAATAAAATATTGAATAATCAATGATGGTCATACTAATGCTTTACAATCTGTAAGCTTCTTGTAAAAAAGTCTCAATTTATAGTAAGAAAAACAACAATCGTCAATGTGTATGAAAGTCACATGAATATGTCATTAATATAGAGTACTTTCATGTGACGTCAATGCAGCCATGCTGGTAGGTTTGATCAAAGTGTCAATACTTAACAGCTATATGTAAAATCAACAAATATTCTTTTCAGTACATGGAACCTTCTACCAACATGGCAACCAACGAAAGCATCCTAAATCTTAGAAAAACTAGTGTCTGCGGACAAGCTTTGTCATGAAGCAGCTATCTAGAAATCCTAACCTTGTTCAATATACCAATCTGGAAAGTTTGTATTACTTGTGACGAGCACAATTTCTTGCAAAGTTTGCACCAATCATGTGTGCAGTTAACTAACTTTTCAGTCTCGTTAAATGTTTGTGTGTTTTCTAGAGACATAATAGTTTCAAAAGTTATAATAGATCCATTAAAGGATCCTACTTTTCGCAAAATATAATGTAGCAGCTCAATTCATAACATATCTATTGGTTATGATTTATGATTATGAACAATATATGTTACTAATGTATATGTTGAAGGCTCATCTATGGTAATGTATGTAGATATTTAATATTATACAAATTATAGACTGTAAACCTGTGCAAATACACAGATCTGCCATAATTTTGCGAAAACCTGTTATTCAACAAGTTAAATACTTGTAAGGTCAGTTTAGAAAATCATAAACCTGCAATGGCAGCATTTCCTCCAAAAGAAGCTACCCGATCAATGCAATGAGAGCCATCGAATTCGTCCAAAGTTAACTCAAAGCTCATCTTTAACCATTTAAAAGCAACTACTCACGAAAAGATTTAGGACTTCGTACTAACTAAAATGTATATTATAAATAAAAAATTTACACATCAATGGTCAAAGATTCATGTAGCTCGGTCCCCGGTCGGCTAGTATGTTCGGTATTAAACGTAATTAATCGGAAAAGAAATTTATGTCTGTGCTTCAAAGAAAAAACTTAGACAAAGTTGAGAGTTGGTTTGGACCTTTCAGTGCCTCGGTGGTTCAGTTTAATGCACCAATGCTCGTGAACAATAGTTTTGATATTTTCATTTAAAAGTAAAATAATTATTTTAGAAACAGACACGTATACCGTTGTTTGTTACAAATACAACGACAGACAATTCTGTAAATATTTAATTGTACCTATTGCATAATCAAAGGGAATCGCCATGCCCATGACGTTTAACATACCGAAACATTTCTTGTTTAATCTTGTCTGCCTTTTGTCGTTTTTGGTCACTGTAATATTGTTTTCGAGCGTTGGCGAACCGTATCATCGAGGATTCTTCTGTGATGATGAGAGTATTAGCAAGCCTTACAAAGATTCAACTGTACCTTCCTCCGTAGCTGCTATTGTGGGTTTACTCCTACCTGTTATATCTATAACAATTATTGAATGGCCACAAATTTGGAAGTCGACAAAGGATGAAAAAAAGCGATTCTACAAATCACAATGGTACGTGCTGAAAAAATTATATATTATTAGTTTACCAAGACAATGTTTCAGTTATAGATTTTATTAGCAGGAAAAATAGCATTTGCACTTTCAAATACATGTTGCAAATTTAAACAAATGATATGCAGAGAAGTATAAGCAAAAGCAGTTGTTATTTGTGTTGACCGAGCACACTTCCAAAAATGATCTCCTAATTATGCTATAATATCAAAACAAATTAACAAAACATCTGACATGGGCCTCAGGGCTCAGGGCCTTTGATAACACCAATGTATCAAAATAGCCTAAACAAAAGAACCACACCACCCACCCACCCCCACAAAAAATCATTCTGCATTCATTCCTGATGAAAACAGCACTGTAAAGTTTTGTGACATAAGCCTTCGATTGGTACTTTCTTTTCTCAAAATGATAAATCTGAATACAGCCAATTAGGGCATTGTAATTGAGATCATTAGTTATATGTTTGAAGGTATATAATTTAACTTACTAGCTTTGAGGTGCAAAGACTTGAGAATCTGCATACTGGAGTACTGAACTTGCTTAGTTGTTTAGTATGGCTGCTCATTAAAAAAAGGTTTTGGCATTAACATTTGGAAATATGTTAAATCCTTTGATTGTCTCACAATTAAACATTTCTGTATTCATATCAGACTTAGTAATTTGATGCATTTTTACCATTCTACCTAAAATCTTCATCACACTGTAACGTTACATAAGAAATATGTTCTTATAGGTTTCGATGGTTGTGTATCGTGATAACATTTTTTGTGGTTGGAGCAGCAGTTAATGTTGTTTTGACAGATGTAGGAAAATACACAATTGGCAGATTACGTCCACACTTCTTCAGCGTTTGTAAACCAGACTTTTCTAAGCTTAACTGCACAACTGGTTTTAAAAAGAACTTTATTATGAATTATGAATGCACGGGAGATAAACATCTTGTTAAAGAAGCAAGACTTTCATTTCCTTCTGGGCATTCTTCCTTTGCAGGTAAAGAGAAAACATTTAGGGAATTGTGATTGTACTATATTTTTGAGCATTTGAGAGATGAAACAATTTTAAATACCTGGTCTGATAATTATTTAATTTTTTGAATTGCATTGGGTTGCCAAAGCATTCAACAAATTTAAATGACAACCATATACATATGTATATACTATCAACAATATGTACTGTTGTTTGTTTGTATGTCAATGTTGATCCTACAGGCTAATGCATTCTTAAAAGTCATCAAGGGCGTGAGGGGGAATGCTCCCTCGCTGACTTTTAGGGGTTCAGAAATGAATATTGTTAATACTGCTTTGAAAGAAATTTAAATTAATTAAAGAGCACATTGGTAAAGTTTCCTTATTAAAAGTACTGCATCATGTGAAAAAAGTTTTTTAAATGTTGTGCATAGGTAGTAAAGTTTTGTAAGTTTCAGTTAATCAATGGTGAACAACTGTCCAAAGATCCACTATATGATACCCTAGGAATTTTATTAATGAAAAATAATTAAAATTTGCAGAAGAATAAACATTCCAATTTTTTATCTTCTTTAGCTTACTGTATGGTGTTCCTCATCCTGTACCTTGAAATGCGCATGACATATTGTTCGACAATGACATTATTTAAACCTCTACTCCAGTTTGTCCTGCTCTTACTTACTGTGCTATGTGGCTTGTCACGTGTGTCAGACTATAAGCACCATTGGAGTGATGTTTTAACTGGTTTTTTCATAGGCACATGTATCGCGTTGTTCTTCATATTTCGGGTGTTAGAACTTCGCCACGTTTCCAACATCACACCGACTGATCGTGATCATTATGAAGAAAGACCTAATCCTCAACATCCTGGAGATATTGAAAGTGACGGAACCTCTTGATTTTAGCTGTATTCTTAACACAAATACGGGCATTTTATGCAAGTGTGAACAGTTTACAATATTCAACTTATTCAAGGCCTGATTAGCTACAACCGTGACAATATTTTTGAGGTGACACATAAAGCAAAAAGAAACTCTTGCTGCAAGCAAGGGGAGAATTAGATACGTAGCTATACAATGTTTATGGCATATTTATGAAAGGATTTTCTCATAATGCCGACGGATAGTTGTTGCAGCTATCTTCAGGCTGTAGCTGATCAATTCTTGCATCTTTGATTTATTACTTGCGCCACTTCAATAGTCCATCTTATATTGCTTTTAATTCTCAATTACCTCAAAGCAAAACGAAGGAAACCGTTTGCAAAAACGGTACATTACGATGTGTATCGAAATAATATACCAATTTATTTTTGATGTACTCTTGTGCGTAGTCTTGTTTATAAATACTAGAATGAACGATGTGGTTTTTATTGGAAAAATATGAATGCAATGATAAAAAAAATATCTCTTCATTATGGTTTTATGGAAGTATGAGCAATAATGGTGTAAGTAGCAAGAAAGGTTGCGCGAAATGCAATGACACCAGCGATGGGAATTGGAAAACTTAGAGTAGCTACTCGCTACTAACCATTTATTCTGCGACAAATTTTACAATAAGTATAAGTTGGGGGTCTGTGAAACTTGGATTTTGATTACCTCCAAAAAAACTAAGACACGGTATAAGATCAAACGATTGAGGTGCAACTCCACTTCATGATGGCACGCGATGATTCTAATGCAAAACAGTTCTCGAAGATGATCTGTAACAGCTCATACACGCACAACGTGCTGGAATTCTATCTTAAACACATAAAGATGTCTGATTCCCCCCACCCTCTCCTCCTGCATATCAAAATGTTGCAAAACCTGCAGAACAACTTCATTGTTGAGCATTAGCAAATAATGAATCCCGTTTACACTTGAAAAAATAAACGAATTACTTGCTCACTTCTATACAATCCGCGCCACTAAACTGTCCATTTCTACCTGTTATAGTTCATATTGCAGTTTTGAGCAGAAAGATTATTGAGCTTGCAAAATTAAAAAATTTTCTTTTTTTCCTGCACCGCACTGAGCAGTCTTTAAATCTAAGTAATTCTGCTAAGTGGCAGGCGATAGTACTATGTGCAATCTGCAGAGAATGATAAGAAATGAACCTTGTACGATTATGAAAAAACAAACTGTTTCTTGCCACAATTTCTGCGTATCAACAAAGTAAATCTAAGTTTAATTTTTATTGATACACCATGAACAATAGTAAACTTCCAACATTTACTTTATTGAAGTAGTTTCATGGTTTGTACTGCAGCTTTGCAGGTGCAGGCTCAGGCCAGAAACTCAGTTCAATTGAGTTTACGCCTTCTGAGATTTATTACTGATGAAACATGTAAATTTTAAAGATCGGCTGTGATATTAAAGATCGGCTGAGTACTTTTTATACACCCCGCGCATTGCAAATTTATCCCCTATCTCCAAAAAATATAATCGTTAGTGGTGCACTGTTCTCCATTTTGCTAAATAAATTATACTCGTGTGGCGTTTACTAATTACTAGCCTGCTCGCAGCCTCAATTTCGTCACTTAGGCTGCGAGCAGGCTAAACGTTTACTTTCATTATTGCAAAGTATTTTTGAACTACATTGTAATTTTCAAGATAAACTAAACTCAGATTGTCTTTGATTTCAAATGAATTAATTTAACATGATTCAACCATTAAACAATAATTGAAGCCTACAGTTCATTGTGATTTATATACTGGTTCGATTGAAGATCAGTCAATGTTGAAAGTGCGTTACACTAAGATGCAGCAAAGAGTTAAAGGTATTTTCCCAGGTCCACAAGTCTTTTCTGAGGTATAACAAGCAAACATGCGTATTACACCGACTCTTTGAGTACCGTCTGTGCATAGGCAAGGGTCGAGTGTTGTGCCTATAAATACGTAATAAGCAAAAATAACTGATTAAATTAAACCTGCCTTTCCACTTGTAAAAAAGTAAATTACCCACCTGCTTTTTCATTATCTTGTTTAACGATTGTGAACAGATGAGGTAAACAAAAACGAGAAAAAGCCAAAACAAAAATGACAAATGTCAAATAATTCATAGCGTCGTACCTAAAAGGACAGTTTAAGTTTGAACAGAAAATAAAAACTATATACTCTCAAAATGTCAAAGCTCACGAGTAAACAAATGGGGCACACGAGTTTGTTAACTGGTTATTCTGAATATTACAATATCAATTATATTTTCTATAACAGAGATTTGGTAAGGGTTACAAACTTAAATATTGCTCTGAAAAGCGTATTTGTCTTCATTACAAATAGACGTAAATTTTGGTTTTCATGTAAGATAATAGAAAAAATTATATTTTTCTTTACAATTGAGAAGTACTTTAAGAATGCAAATAGTAAAATAATTTTTAACAACATGGGACGACCATAATTTTTAAAAACATTTTTAACAAATAATTCTTAACAACATGGGACGACCGTGAAGGTAATAGCTACCTTCATTAAAAATAAAGGAAAACAGATATAATACCTGATATTTGCTTGTATTTATTTACCAACTATATTGTTGAAGATAAACAGGCTGCGCAAGATAGGATGAAACTAATTAAATTGCTTTTTGATTAGGTTTAAAGTACATATATCAGCCGATCAACTTTTCCAACACGATAAACTCGTGATCATAAAAAACCTTATGATCATGAATCGTGATTGAGCAAGCCACAAGATACAGAAAATTTTTTAAACATTGTCTTAAACAATTCCATGATTCGTTTGAAAAACTAATGTATCTAAAAAACCCTCAGACCCCTTTCTATAATCTCATTAAAGAAACAACACCATAAGAAAACAGTGGCGTAGCCAGCCAGCAAGTTAAGTCGTGCTATGTAAATTTTTTTGTGTTCGCTCACTGTACTGAAAAACAGTAGACTTCTAAAGAAATTAATAGAGTTTAAAAGAATAATGATAAAGACCTGAAATTTACATAGCACTACCAAATTTGAGCGCTGGCTAACGCCACTGTAAGAAAGTCATAATGTTGGATAAGTTTTTCTAAAATAAAGTTAAGAGCGCACTTTAATTAGGAAGGACAAATAGACAGTTTAATGAAAGAAATGCCAAAATGTGGAAACCAATATGTTATTATTAAGATACGCTCTTATATTCTTCTGGTAATAAGTAAATAATCACATCAAGTGTAACTAAATGATTATTTTAAGAGATACTTATGTGCAATAATCACAATATTTTTTATAGCTCCATATAGCTTTCCGTTGATTGTAAAATAACCATATTTAGTAAAGAAACAAATATGTCCATACGTAATATCTTTTTTAAATAGAAATAGTTTAACCATTGTAAGACAGATCGTAGACCATAGACATTGACGTTGAACATTAAATGTGATCGTAATAGTTATCTGTGATATCTCTATTTGTTGGTCTAAGTCAATATATACTAAAGAAGGTAGATGGCTACGTCACAAAACCTAACAGTTGACATAGCAGTTCGTGCTTCAAACTGCGAACGTTAATTATCAGATCTTGAACCATGCTATAGTCATGATTCGTTATCATGCAGTGAAAAAAATCCTTTTATGAACTATCAAGCTAACATTGGTTAAGATGAAATAAAACATTTTGTCAAAGTGCATATTTTCTTTAACTAATGAAGTAGTGGGTGTGTCAATACTTTCATATAAAACTCTTCGGAGGTCAATGCACTGTTAACACGATGTTTTAGTCATTTAAACGTATTTCGTCATTTTAACATAAAATTTGGTACTCACTTCAGTCTTACCTTTATTTGACTTGTTGTTCCAGGTCTATTTTAGTTCAATCGTGGTTCATCCAAGTCAATTCCCACGTCTATTCTAGTTCAATGTGTTATCAATGTTGATAAACCATTTGGCAAATAAGATCAGGGGAGAGTTAAATGTCCGCACTTTTCAAATAAAATTTGTGAACTTAATATTCGATTGATTCAATAGAACTTAATATTTAAAATTAGGCAACTTGCATTGTTAACAATATGGTATGTTTGTTTGCTGGGTATATTTTATCTATCACTCTGATAAAGCAAGATATAACATCCGACCAACACAATTAAAGCAGGACAAAGTAGCCGGACCTACGTAAAAGCCGATTTCCATTACGGTCGCCTTGCCGCGCGCGTGGAGCGTACACGTTTGAGCATGCGCTATAAGCTACATCAGTGGCTTCTCTCGGACGCCGCGTACACTAGCGCACACGCTTCGAAAGTTAAAAATTTTCAACTTTCTTGGCGATGTCGCGAGAACCATTGAGCAGGTGATTAAAATCAACCAATCGCCAACTGTTGTGGCCTGCTACTGTTATGAAGACATCACCAGTGACCAGGTACCTCAGTGCTAATGTCAGGCTTTCGTATGCCCCAATGGCTTCTCGTCATGTTTCCTCGCGTGTTATGCTTGGGGCAACTAAACCAAGTAGTTTTTTAAATGTGCTGGGTGTCAATCGAAACATTTGAAAAAAAGTTCATGGTCGAATAACATTGCCTCACGTACTAAAGTGTGATATGCGCCTTTTTTCTATCTAAATAGATTTGCTTTACCCAAATTCGATTTCTGTATTTCCTTCTTGGTAATCGCCGCCTTAATAATATCAGTATCAATAGTTTTCTATTTAAAGCTGCCATCTTGAATAGTTTTGAAAGTAGCGCGTGCAAAAAAGTTCAATGAAGATTGTTTTTCAACGCGCGTACGATTGCTAAAACGGGTCCGCTCGGCGAGCGCGGGAAAAACGACTGTAATGGAAATCGGCCTTAAGGGTAATTTTTTGTCACAAGTCACTCATTTCTTCTTATTTAGTGTAAATTATATCTACATAAATACT